TGATCACTGGAGGGCCTGGAAAAGTCACTGAATGGCAGAACTTTCAGTTAAATGAATGTCTCCCGTTTAAACATAATTGCCACACAGGTATTCATGAACTGCGTCCTGGAATAAGGTTGCGGATATATTAATTTCTCTAAGGGAAAAAAGGTCAAAACTTTGTACTCATTAACGCATGTGCAACCAAGGGCTAGGGGAAATCATTACAAAAGATTTTCTTTATTTTATAACAAACAGCTCTCAATCAAAAGAAAAAGTTGATAAAAGAGTCAACAAGTAAAACAAAAGACAGAACAATGTTTCTTGAAGAAAAAAAATTCAAATAATTTTTTCTCACTCTCAGCACTGGTACTTAACCTACTTTCAATAACATTGAATCGATACTAAATCTAGTTTTCCTGTACTTATAGCTCTATCGGTGATCAAAGCTCCATCTAAGTACAAAGTAGAACTTATGTAAACACCGTTAATGTTTTTTTTTTTCATATATCATATCAACACATGCAATTTCAACATGTACAATATAGAAGCTAGCAAAACAACGGGGAAAAATACCATTAAACGTCAACATATAAATGCTTTCAATAAGATAATTTTACATTACTCTTTTTTTTATGTACAATACACCTTTTATATTATATACTAATTTATGTAATATAATAATAATAATATCATTATACACGCCTTATACATACAAGCATGTGCTTGATCACGAAGAGCAGCTGGTATCTGAATTTAAAAGTTAAAAGGTAACAAGTGCATTTAAAAAAATTATCATACAATTGTTTATTTCAAATTTATCTAAAGTTACTATTGATAATATTCTGCTGAAAGTAAATAAAGACAAGTCATTATAGTTTTGATTAATGAGACTAACAACAATTTCATGCTCCTAAGGTATTGTACACAACCATGTTCATCACTGAACTAATTATTGTCCATAGCGAGTGATACATGTAAATGAAGTTAATGATACTGATTAATTAAAATAATTTAAAGTTACCTAAGTTACGTAATATTTTTTATGCTGAACAATAGACACTATATAAAGGGTGCTTTCATAATCTACAAAAATCGATTATCTGTTGCATTAAGTCGGTTATGGATAAATAATCATGAAAAATCTCCTCCCTGACTCATTTGCACCAAGGAACGTAAATTAAAAAAAAAATTACAGTGCATCCTTAAACAAACATTTCATTAAAATTATTCGTTCTAGAAAAAGAATTTAATAAATATATAATGAAACAGAATACAAAAATAGTTAACCTTACTCAAAGGTATTCATGAAACAATAAAAAAAATTCCATTACCTATATTCTTGTCACTGAATGATCGACTAAAGTAAGACATTATTTTTATTTGGAGTTTGACCTACTTTTGCAAAAATTTAACAAAAATTAACATTGGCCATATCTTTTGAACAGTTGGGGCTAGGGCTTTTATACTGAGTATTTTATGTGTCCAAATCTTTCTTTGGGTGCCATCATTTTTACCTTTCGACCTTCACCTTTGAGTCTGACCTACTTTTGAAAAACTTTTACCCTGGGCATAACCTTTGAACGGTTGGAGCAAAGGCTTTTATATATTACATGTGTATTCCATGTGTCCAGTCCTTTCCTTGAATACCAACATTTAAACCATTTGACCTTGATCTACTTTTGAAAAAAACCCTTAAACCTTGGCCATAACTTTTGATCGGTGGGTACTAGGACTTTCATAAATAACGCGTATATTCTTTGTGACAAGACCTTCCTTTCGGTATCAACATTTTTGACCTCATGACCTTGGAGTTTGACCTACATTTGAAAAATAAAACTTTAACCTTGTCTATAACTTTTGAACAGTTGCTGCTAGGGCTTTCATATTTCACTTATGCATTCCTTGCGACAAGAACTTTCCTTTGGTGCCATAATTTTTTGTCCTCATGATTTTGGCCTTAAAGTATGACCTACTTTATGAAAAACTTGGCCAATTTTCTGAATGGTTGGTACAAGGGCTATTATATTTCACATGTGTATTCCTTGTGACAAGATCTGTCTTTGGGTATCAACATTTTTAAACTCTTGATCTTGACCTTTGGGATTAACCTACATTTGAAAAAAATTAACCTTGGCCTTGAGCTGCCATAGGGGGCATCAGTGTTTCACAAACACATCTTGTATTTTTAAAGGTGCTCCATATGTACATGTATCTATATTAAAATGGATTTATAATCAAAATATGAATAACATACTTCTCTGTTTGAACACTTTAATCCATATGCATGTATGTTATTTAACAAAAACAAACCTAGGCTTTGCCTAGATATCAATGAATATTAAACAAGAAGCCAGTGGGCCTTGGCGGTCACCTGAGTACCATGAGTATCTCTTGTTGCATGCATAATCAATTCAGCTACCCCTCACCCTGGAACAGAACTCTGGACTTAGGTGACAGGAATTTTATGATTTGATGTTCACGGTCATATTTTTTAAGATTGTTCCTAAAAGATTAGGATTAAAAAAAGATTTATAAAGATATATGTTCAACTTAGCACCATATTAGCACCAGGCCTGAGATCTGAGGAAACATATTTAACAAATCTGGTAAAGGCCAAATAGTATACAGCCATCAAGCATTCAGTTTGCTTGCTAAATGTTTCAAAGATGCACTCTAAAATCAATGTTTAAGATATGTCTAATTAATAGGGATGGGTATCGCCAAAAAATTTCGTATCGCGATATATTACGATTTCCCCCCCACAATATCACGATAATATCATGATATTTTCACAAGCAATTTTTACAATGATTTTAAATGAATATTCATAATTTTTCGGAAAAATATGCTAGAAAAACATAACTTTACTTTTTTCATTTTTTTTATTTACATAATATCAAGCAATTTTGGATGCTAAGTTGCCGTTCTTAAACCGTTTTCAACATTTTTACACTTCCTGTAATTGTAATTTGAAAGATTGAACAAATAAATGAATCCTTTCTGGAAATTATAAATATGTACCTAAATACCGGTATTTTAGTCTCCGTATCACGATACGTATCACGCAATTAAAAATCACGATATACCGGTATACCGATAAAATCGCACATCCCTACTAATTAAGCCCCACCCTTGGGCGTGCTTTATGGACCCAGGGGACATGAAATCACAGGCCCGTAGGAAGCAATTTCACTTTGAGGGGGCACAATCATACATTTTCAGTTGAGGGGGCACTATCGACTCCAAAATTCCTTGACAAGCAAAAAAAAAAAAAAAAAAAAAAAAGGTCATCAGACGTTATTAATGAGGGGGCCCCCCGTGCCCCCCCCCCAGTTCCTACGGCCATGAATCAAATGCGTAACAAACATGGAAACAGTATGTCTGGTGTATTAATGTCTCTGAGTAAAGAAGATTTTCAAATGTGTAATTTCAAGTTTTAATACATTGCCAACCCAGCCTCATCCTGCAGCCTGAATTCTCGATTCTGGGACCTTAAACTTAAAAATTTTGGTAGATGACTCGTTGCTTATTATAATCATGCAAACAGTTTGTCTGCAAGATGTCCCTGAGTAAGAAGAGAACTTTCATAGATGTAATTCATTTTCAATTTATGACCTTAGTTAGCCAAACCTTGGGCCTGAACTCAGAACTCAGGCGGCCATGAATTTTCAAAATTTTGGTCAAAGTTTAATTACTTATGGTCATTGTATTCATGCAAACTGTTTGCCTACTAGCTACGAATATTCGTAAGTAAAGAAGGCTTCAGAAATCTATATATGACAAATTTATTCCCACCCTGGGGTCTGAACAATGGAGGCAGGGGTCATGATATTATTAAAAAATGGCTGAGTGCTGTTTATTTTCAGCTTAGCCAAACTTGCATTTGACCTTGGATTCAAGGGGTCATGAATTTACAATTCTGGTAAAGGGCTGAAAGCCTATTGTATTCATGCAAACAGTTTACTAGTATCTGCTAGATGTCCCAAAATAAAAAAAATAAACTTGTATTTCAAATATATAATGAATTTAGCCCCATCCTGGGGACTGAACTCAAAGGAATTGAATTTTAGTTTTGATAGAAGACAATTACTGGTTATAATCAGGCCAATTCTCTGATTGCATGTCCAGCAGTAAAGAGATAAATTACTGTGAGTGAGCTCAATGGTTAACATCTAGGAATAATGATTTAAGAATACAATAACTTGTCAGGTTTTGACAAAGCCCATGGGAGCCAGAGACCATGAAAATTGTAATTTCTTGGTCCCCTTAAGATATACTGTTTTTAAAAACTGGTTAAAATTGGTTTAGCAGAAATAAGGAGAAAAAAATCAAAGTTGAAATTTCCCCTCATACAAAAAAAGATACTTGTAGGTTATCTAAGTATCTCAGGTGACCTAAAAGTGGCCAAAGACATAAGAGATCATATTAAAACATAAGTTCCAATAACATTTGTGGGTATCAGAAAAATCAGACACATTCATTACATTGTAATTCTTACTCAATAAAAAAATTACATGTTGCATTAAAAAAATTTAAAAAAAAAACTTTAATGACCTCTACTACTGAACACTTTTCAGGGTTATTTTCTTTGGAGGAATATTGTGTCCTATGGATACATAATGCAGACATTTACTAGCAATTTTCACATTCTTGGGTAAAAGAAAATATAATGAAGGTAAACTTAACCAATGGAGATATACATATATTTAATTTTATGTAGTCATATGTAGTCAACTCGTTTACCTAAAATCTACTGTACAAATTTTTAAAAAAAATTCAACCTATCTCCCTCTCTCTTTGCTTTGGAAGTTTTTTTTAAACTACAGATCTACACATTAGTCAGTAAAAAAGAAATTTAAAGTAAAATTTATCTAAGAGAATAAAGTAGAAATAAAGGTTAAGACAGCAATGCAGGTATAAAACATCAAATACAAGTAAAATATAATCACAATACTGTAAAATCACATATTTTTGTCAAATTTTCATGATTTGAGGAAAAAATATGGATTTGTGGAGATTTGATTTTGTGGATCAAGAATTGTTGAGTAGTTATATATATGATATTTTACAATTTGTGGTAGACATAAATTTGTTGGTCATTTTATACCTCAAAAAAAAAAAAAAAAAAAAAAAATTAACCCCCTATGAAAATTACTGATTTCACAGAACTTAATTAATGTGTACAAGGATTTCTTGTGCGTTGCATGATGCTGAACACATACATGTAATTTGTACATGAGCTGGTCCTTGGAATATTTGTAAGTCAAATGAGAAATGATAAAATAACTAGAATTAATTATGTCATCGTCAGCTGCATAATCTCCATATTTCAAAGGCTACTTTGGGTGTGACTAGAGCAGAGATTAAAGAGGTCAATAGGTTAACACTGTGATTATCTAATAGCTCCATGCCGGAAATATACTCCACATTTTGTCCCGAGTGCTCGACAACACACTTCCGCTTCTGATCAAATCCTAAAGAAATCAATGAGCTTACTTGAAAAAGTTGATTCATCAGCTACTGGATATATAGGCTTAATGTCTAATTTTGGTTTTTATGTAAGGTTTCAAGTATCATTTTTTTTTGATTTGACAATGAAAAAATGTCTCCAAAATTTATTTTTCACTTGCAGAAATGTCAGGAAACATATGTGCTTGGAGCCAAAGTTCTTTCCATAGTAACAGATTTCAAAGAAATGTATGGAATGCCATTTTTGTATGGTAAAACTTCACAATAAATTTTTGGCTGAGTATTATTTTAGTAAACTAAAATTAAATTGGTCAGAATCACATCAATCATTGTAAGTGGCAAGGACATGCAATTTTTTTTCATTAGAATTGAAATATATTTTGAATATAAACTAGAAATATGTCCATAGGACATGAATGCCCCGCCGAGGGTATGTTAGTAATGCAAAATGAAAATTGACAACACTATATTGAATGGTTTCTTTAAAACTGAGTTAAACACTAATTTAAGAAAAGTGAGGTCAAGATCAAAGGAAAGGTGAAGGTAAAAAAATATTGATGCAGTTGAATAGCTCTCGTCAGTATGTATCAGCATATGAAGTTTGATAAAAATATCTTGAATGATTTCATTAAAACTGAGCAAAACACTAATTTTAAAAAAGTTAGGTCAAGGTCAAAACAAAGGTCAAGGTCAAAAAATGTTGATGCAGTTGAAAAGCTTACATCAGTATGTATCAACATATGAAGTTTGATTTCGCTATCTTGAATGGTATCTTAAAAACTGAGCTAAACACTAATTTAAGAAAAGTGAGGTCAAGGTCAAAAGAAATGTCAAGGTCAAAAAATGTTGATGCAGTTGAATAGCTTACATCAGTATGTATCAACATGTGAAGTTTGATTACACTGTCTTGTATTGTATCTTTTAAACAGAGCTAAACACTAATTTAAGAAAAGTGAGGTCAAGGTCAAAGGAAAGGTCAAGGTCAAAAAATGTTGATGCAGTTGCATAGCCCTCATCAATATCTATCAGCATATGAAGTTTGATAAAAATATCTTGGATAGTTTCTTTGAAATTGAGCTTTGAACAGAGCTAAAGCAAAGTGTGACGGAAGGACAGACAGAAGGACGGAGGGACGGAAGACAGACATGACAAACACTATATTCCCCGGCCATATTCATGGCGGGGCATAAAAAATGTCCAACTGTGGAATGAAAATATAAGCCTGATTAGCATAAAATATCCTGAATGGATTGATACCCTCATTAGGGATATTCTGGCATGCCTCCTCAATTTGTTCCAATCATTGACACTGTTCTGATGCAGAAGAATAATTTTGAAAAATTAAAAAAAAAATCCTTTCAGTTTAAAAGATTTGAATTTTAACCAGTTATGTGACAGTAAGTTATGAAAGTTGGTGAAGATACATGTAAGTATGAAACACAAAGAAAGACAACTCTTTAACAATCACATAAATAATATCAAATATAATTTTAGTGTACATGTATCAAATACTATAGCAAATCTGAATTTATGATTCTAGCAAAAAAAAAAAAAAAAAAAACCAACAACAACAAACAAACAAACAAATAAACAAAACAAAAACCAAAACCAAAACAAAACCTAAAAAAAAAACAAAACAAAAAACTTACCTGAATATTGAAATGTTGCTCCTAGGAATGAATCTATAGAAGAACCAATAAACCCCATAAGGGTCCCCACTAACACTATGGGCCACTGTGGGGGACCATTGTTTATAAAGGACTCTCTAAGCAGGAAAATTTGTGTTAGATAGAACCCCAGGCCCACAAGTCCTCCCCCTACCAAACTAAAGGCCATTCCAAGAACAGTCACACCTCCATTAGTGCCTGAAATAAGATATCTTAGTGAAATATTGATCATAATAGTAATACATGTTCTCTAATTCCAATTCTGCTGTCTCAAATCTCTTCTCTCATATATTTAATCTTTAGATGTCATGAATATGAAGCAATATTATTTTGAAAAAAGAAAATTTGAAATCAAAGTTTAAATTAATTTTCCTTTAAGTCTTCCAAAGTTTTGATGGAGAATAAAAATCGGTAGAGACTGCAATCATAACTAACACACACAACCCCATTAAAAAAATAAGCACACGTACACTATAACATGTACCATGAACTTCTCTCATGAAAATCACTGAAAAATCTCTCAATGTTTACAATGAGGTGTCATTAAAAAGTTTTTGTCATTCATATATCCCCAAATTTACACATTGATACTCACCCACCCTAATAACAACTGGTAATTACTCACCTCGAGGAACCTTTGCTAAAGTTGTTATGAGCCTTGGTTCAGTATTTCTGGAAAACACAGCACCAAGTTCTGAAGAGAAGGTGTCCCCACAACAACAAGCCAGGGACCCCAGGACAGACATCGCCAGCCAGGAGGACGAGTAGTGATGGGAAAAGTCAATTATTACCTCCTTACAACCCACATGAAACATGTACTGCAGGGCAAACACAGCTGCCATGCCACCGTTACAGAGAACCTGTACCCAATTTCTTTGACCACCTGTTTCAGTTAGAAAAATTAAATTCAAATTAATTTTTTTTGTGTCATAAAAAACTAAAGATAAACAAATTAAATACAATACATATTATTAAAAAAAAAATAAATTTTGTCAGTTGCTGAAAAACATGGAAAAAATATTCAGTAAAATTTGGCTAATATTATTAATTTAAATTTAAACTGAAATGTCATATAGTTGTTGAACTTCAAAGTTTCTATATGTAATCATTGATAAATGCCAATTTGAAACTCTAAAACTTTCCAAACTGGGTATTCACCGACCTTCCTTATAGTTATGTTCCATTTTCCTCTTCTGTTCTGCCTTGAATTTAGTGACCTTTGATCCCATCACAAAAAATGTTAGAAGTGAGGTGAAAAAGCAGAAATTGCTGATGGTAAGAATGAAACCAACAACAAGACCTGAAAAAAGAATTCACATTTCATATCCATTCAACTGCATTTTAAAATTCAACCTCCACCCATCTTTAAAAAAAATTGATTGCCCTCTCCTGACTCAGGATAAAGAATTTGGGTAGGTAGGTACATGTAAGTAGGGGAAAATTTTTTTTATTCAAAAACATTTGTGAATATGAAGCTGCATGTATGATAGTAGTTAATAGGATAAGAAACTTTGTAATGAATAAAAAATATTTATGGGATAAGAAATTTCGGAATGAATTTAAAAAAATTGCTTCAGTTCTTGAAAGTTGAAAAAAGATTTGATTCTAACCAATTTTAGTCGGTCGGGAGAGGGCAAAGAAACAATTTTTTGAAGTACTATCTTAAACTTTTTCTTTCATATGTATTTCAACCTTAGTGTTGCCTACTACCTAATATTTTACCTAATACCTAGAATTTCCTAATATCTCTAAAGTTTTTTTTTTTTTCTTGGTCCTGTCAAGTCCAAGATAGAGGATTTTACTGTAATTCAAATTTTCAGAGACCATAAATCATTGGAGTGTATAATCAAACCTCATAACCTTGAACCTAATGCGACCCAGAAAAAACTTTGAGATAAATATGATGAAGCAAGATATCGACGTCCGGTAAAATACATAAAGAAAAAAAACAGTTAGGACTTTAACTCACTTTGAAATATTTACATTACACGTTTTTTTGCTTTTAAAGTGTGTGGAAAGGTACGGCCTTCAAAACACCATAACACGGACAGGGGGTCAAAAGAATTAAAGTATGCATTTTATTTTGACGTCACAAACGCTGAACGCCGTGGAATTGACATCAGTGAAAATCAAAATTCACGCTCACATTGAACAGAAGCTGTTGCAATGGCTCTTTTATTAACTATAACTTACCCGAAGGATAATACAGAGATTTTGAAATAAAAATCACTGTAAATATAAGCATTCGTTTGAAACAAATTTTCATAATGCGCTATTATCATGCTAACGCATGTTACTCAATTTGTTTGCACACACCATTGCAGTTATGAGACCATATCTTTCAAAAAATAATGATTCAATGCTTAAATATCCATGGTATTCAAAATGACTATTAGTTTCAGATAGGGAAGTTCAACTGTATATTGAATAATGAATTTGTATGGAAAGCAACTGTGAAATTTTTATAAATGACTCCTATTATCAGATTATTCTCTTTGAAATACCTGCAATGACACCAGTTCGATCCAAACTTTTTTTCTTCAGTCCCCATGTTGCTATGACAACTGGAGCCAATATGGCAATCATCCATCTCCATGGGGAGACAGGAACAGTATCTAAAAATAGATCAATTCTAAAATAATTCTGGATGGAAATGAAAGTGGATGGAATATTTATATAAAATCGTTTTATTCTTTTACAACAAAATTACAAGTAGTCTGTATAAATTTGATACTTTTTTCTAATATAGCTTTGTCTGAATATAAAAAAAAATGCAGTAGTAAGAACATTTGTAAAGGCCTGTAGTAAAACGATGTCGACCGACAGGGTACCCTCCCATCTTATTTCATGCACAACAAATTAACACTTTGTCACGTATTGTAAAAGATTGCATTGATTCGTGTAAAAGAAAGTCCTTACCATTATAAACATAGCTATATACTATAGTTATAAGCCAGCAAATTAAACTGACAGGCGTCACTATACCAAGCAACACGAACCACATTATTCTACTTTCACTTTCATTGATTTTTTAGATGGTTCAAGAGAGATAACTCGTGGTGGAACCAAACTAAAGATTGCAAGATTTCAAAATTTTTTTTCTCTTCTTTTTTAAACATATTATCAGTAAAAAAATTTGAATTATCAAAATCATGATAAAAAAAATAATTGATATATTAAAAGCAGGGACACATATACTAACGTTACTCTATGAAGAAAATTTTAAAGGCGTTATAAAGTCTTTTCAAAAAGGCGTTATAACGCCTTTCCAAAAGGCGTTATTGCGCCTTTCTAAAAGGCGTTATCACGCCTTTCCCAAAGGCATTATTATGCCTTTTAAAGAGTCATTATTATGCCCTTGACAGGCCCGTGCTTTTGAGAGGGGGGGGGGGCAATGATTTACCAGAGTTTGACCTTACTGCAACAAAATGTTCAGGGACCAATTAAAGTTCTTACGCAAGGAAATAGCCAATCAAAATGAACTTGGAATGGGGTTTTTCCAATGGCACTAAAGGTGGCATTATTATACCGAGCATCTCCTTCCGCTCTGATAGGGGTATCAGGAAGTCCACATTTTTCATTAAGTTCTTGAATGTTCTGCCTTATTTTCTTCATGCTGTTTTTATTTACTTTGGTGATAATTTCCCCCACTTTGTTGCAGGTCTGTTGCATGTTGGCGGCTGATGCTGGTTCAATATTTGCACCAAGAAGCATACCACGCATACCCTCTGTTGTAAGACTAGTACCCAGATGACCGACAGCCATGGCCACATTTAGCTGTGCAGCTCTTCGGCCCCTTCCAGATCTCCTCAACTCTTCGTAAAGCTTTTCTCGGTGACTGGTATAGTGGCACTTCTTACATCGGATGGAAAGGATCCATGCCAGGCCTCGTTTTTCCTCCCCATGCTGATTCCAGTCCAGTGAACCGTCACAGTCTGGAAACTTATGTGAGTGTTCTTTAAATGCATGGTTCCACAATTTAGCAGTCTTTTCTTGGTGAAGTACTTTGTATAATTTTGAATTCAGGTCATCTGACACAGCTTCCATGTAGGAGTCTACAGGCTGGACTTCACTTGGCCCGGGTCGCAAAATCTTTATCTCACTGCTTCGGCTCTTGGCATCTGTAACTGCGAACATTCCATTTTTCTGTGGCTGTACAATGTCCCGAAACTCTTCTTTACTTAGTCTTCTTATGGGAACTAGAAATTGGACTGGGCTGGTGGTCCCTGTATTCTTCTGGCCTTTGTTGTGAGGAATACTTCCTTTTCTGTATTGATGTTGATGCAACCATTTTGGTCCCTTTTTTGGCATGATTATTATTTAACTGTACACTTGTAGACTTTTTCTAGTAATATATGCTATTGTATGTGGTGCACATTTTTAAGTATTGTAAACTTTTGTGTTGTTTATTTATTTTAGAGCTGCCTGGTCTTCTAAGAGAAACTCCATTCTTTGATGACTGATGGAAAAGCCTCATCACCCCCCACTGCTAAAGAACCGCTTATCTTAATCGCCAGCCATTAATCAGTGATCACTGTTATCAAAGCTCCAAGGTACATTATTGAAGTCTCTTTTGACACCATTTTTTCCAGTCTCTGACTTTGTTTTAGAATTAAGATTTTCAATTTTTTGCTAATTAATTCCTTATAAATCAGTAAACTTCCTGTTTCTTAGGTAATTAGAGCTTATTAATTAGAGATGAAAAAACTTTAAAGTAGATAGCCAAAAACCCCAACATTTCAGCTTGCATTTCATTCCAAATTTTTTTCTCAATAATTAACTCATAAGATTTTTTTAAGTTTTGAAATTAATATACTGTAGATGAATTTCTATAGAAATTTAGCCTAAAATTCAATAATCTGTAAGGAAGAGTTATCTCCTATTTTTCATCCCTTAACGACAAAGATAAATTTTGATGCACTGGTATATGAAAGATAAATAACTAAGAGACATTTTATGCAAATTTCATTTAATTTCATTAACTTTTAGTTGTCTTAAAGGTCTTACGCAAGGAAATAGCCAATCAAAATGAACTTAGTCAATTGTAGTTCTATATATATAGAGACAATTTCTTTTTCTTTTTTCATTTTCGGCAACTTTTTTTAGGTCTACAGTTTTAATTTTGGACTCATGTACTAGGAATATCATATTTTTAGCAGAATTGTGCCACTGAATTACAGGGAACTCTTTTTTTAGATGCGCATGATGCAACTTCCTGGATGGTGTGTAGGCTGTTTGTCAACATGTGAAACCCACGTGTATTTCAGGGTAGGTATGTTTACACTCAATTTTCTTTCTTAAAAGCCGCATAAGGCGTATTTTTTCTGATCTCAAATTTTTGTCTCAGCATTAATCTTTATTTTCTCTTTCATGAATTATCTGCTGAGAGTCTAATTAATTAATTAATTTAATTAAAGCTACATAGTAACATATAGTGAAATTATTTCCTTGTGTGAGACCTTAAGCAGTCATGAAATGAATTTTTATGTTTAAACTATAGCAAGACTATTCTCCCAAAAAGTGAGGAGGGGAGCCCCCCTCCCCCCCCCCCCCCTTGCACACGTACTAACGTCCTGTTTGAAAAGGCGTTATTATTATGTATGCCAGATAGGAGACGTTTCATTTCAGTATTAATTAAACAAAGGTAGTGATCACAACACAGTAAGGGGATCGGGCTTCTTTATCTGTCTGATTAAGTTTAATTAAAACATCAACGTATAATTCCTATCATTCTTAAAGGTTTATATACAAGAAATAATCAAAACATGCATCTTTTATTAAATTGAAATCATATAACTCAAGTTCTCTCATATTTTGCTTCTATATGCTTTGTAAGTTATAAAAGTTACGATTAAAATAATACCATGCAAATAGACAGTAGTTGTTTTTAATGGAAACACAAAATGGAAAGGAAAAGACATTCCAGAATATTCATGAAAGATTTCCATTCCATAAAATTAAGAAAGAATTTGTTTTGTCGTTTTCGGCAATGATGATCTGTTTCAGCATTTCACATCTTAAATCTATATGAACATGTACCATCTTGAGATATATGTCCTACAACAAGAATAAAATGCATTCACTTATAATATAAAATATACCCCATTTTTAATTTTGTTTCAGAAAAAAATCAATTGATGTATTATAAAAGAGAATGTAACAGATCAAGAATGATCTTGATGATTTCAAAAGAAATAGAAAATGCACTATTCCCTAGATTCTTTTGTCCTCTGAGTAGAAATCAATTTTAAAAATTAAAAAGCAAGTAATAATACTGCAATGTCAAAAATCACTTTGCGAAGCTTTACTCACTTGGAAGTCTGGACTAATCCAGAATTGTCACTTTGCTTTAAGATCATATCTAGAATCTGAAAAAAAGACTTGACGGAATATAATCACAGATTTTTTTTCAGGATATTTATATTTTGTACTTTAATTTATTCTCCAGTTTTATGAGATGAAAATTGGAATTCTTAATGCAGCTTTCTTGGACAAAAAATGTTTATTTTCTTTGGCATCTTTGCAACGAATTTCATCAACAAAGATAATTTTCCAACATTGAAGAGCTTTACCAAAATTAAGAAAAGGTTTGTTTTTATTGAAATCAAGAACATGGATTGAAGGTGGATTAGCAACGGAACAAACAATTTCAGCAATTCGAACACAACCGAGGAAAATATGTCAGAAAACATTTTACCTCCGGTCCTTCAGTATGCATTCGGAGTTTTAGGAAACAATAGTCATGTTTCTCATGTGTAACTCTTCAAATGAACACAGATGAAAGCCATTCTATAAGCTGGTTGGTTGTCTAGCTCTTATGAACTTTTGTGAAATAGGTTTTGTTTTGTTAACCCTGGCATTATGATACTCTGTATTTCAAGGTTTAATTCTGAATTTCCTAAACAGCTGTGTGAATATTGCTAATTTTGGTTATCCTTCTGCTTTCTGTCTTCAGTACTTACTTACTTATTTAGGCCTGTCGTTCCGTGAAGAATATAGGCCATCCACGGCAGTCCTCCAGTGAACTCGATTCTGGGCTGCTTTCACTGCATCCTGCCAGGTCATGTCCTTAGCCTTTAGTTCTGACTCCGAGTCACGCCTCCAGGTGTTTCTTGGACGTCCCCTCTTTCTTTTGCCCTGTGGGTTCCAAGTCAGGGCCTGGCGTGTGATGCTGGATGGTGACTTCCTTAGCGTGTGTCCAATCCAGCCCCACTTCCTCTGTCTGATTTGTACGTCCTTTGGTTCCTGCCCTGCTCATTTCTATAGTTCTTCATTTGTGATCCTTTCAGGCCATCGGATGTTGAAGATGCGCCTGAGACAGGTGTTGTAAAATGTCTGGATCTTCTGCAGGATAGCTTTGGTCAACCTCCACGTCTCTGCACCATACAATAGGGCGGACTTTACATTAGAGTTGAGGATCCGCAGTTTGGTAGTAATGCGGATGTTCTTTGAGACCCAGATGTTCTTTAGCATTATAAATGCAGTTCTTGCCTTGCCAATTCTTGACTTGATGTCACAATCTGTGCCACCCTGTCTGTCCACCACACTCCCCAGGTAGATGTAGGACTCAACTTCTCTGATGGGCTCACCACTAACTGTGACTGGTGTTTGGATAATGGTATACAGTGGACACTCCTGACACAACTCGATGATCTAGACTTTGCCGATGACCTGGCTCTACATTCGCACAACCACAGTCAGATGCAGGATAAAACAACTCGCCTAGCAACAACATCAGTAGGAACGGGACTCAAGATCAACGTCTGTCTTCAGCCCTGATTGTAAGTGTCATGTCTTTTGACCGATTTACTGCAGTAAGATTCCATATGTCGTATTGAGACTTTCAGAGAAAGAGAGTAAATATCTTGCTTTGGCTCATTTCAGGCGCTGTATTGTCTTTAAATTTCGTGGGTGTTGGATTCGTCAAAAACTTTTACCCAGGGTCGTGCTTTTTTTTTAACCTTTGCAAACAATGGTTAAATGGAAAAAGTGAACACTTACATATATTCCATCACTGGGTTTGCTATT